GAAAGACAAGATTAGAAAACAAAATAAGATAACGCGTTTGCTGTAACAAGTTGGAATGAGAATAAATAAATCCGAGCGGTAAATTACTATAAATTACTACGCTTTATCGATGTCTTAATGATATTATCGTTACCGTTATCGACGCATCGGCAAATATCGAAAGATTATCGGCAACTTATCGGTAATCGTTGATAGCAGCTCCAGAGCGAAGATAAATTGTGACCAGCATTCGAACGTTCCTGAGCCTATCAAATGTGAGATCAGGATAATTAAAAGTGGTTTCGGAGATATTCGATTCTTTCCGATTACGTCAGTCACGCTGTGCATACAAAATGGACCGCGTAAATCTGATCACCTGAATATCTCCTGAATATTTCTTGGCTCGATGAAAGAAGAAAAAGAAATATTTACAAGATAATAAACTAAGATACTAGGAAGAAAGCTACTTTCAAAGTCATCCATATCATTCTTTTTCTTTTTTCTTTTCTTTATTTTAACGAAATTCGACATTCTCGTAAGCAAAATGGAAACAATTCGACTGCCGTAAGAAGATTCTATTTGGATTAATTAATTTTCCTAAAAATGTGAAAAATTTCACAAGAGTTTTAACGAAGAACTAAATAGCATAGACGATATAGAATGCGGGAAAATAAAAGAAACCGTTGCCGTAGTGGCTACACTTTCTCAGAATACTCATACGAATACACTGGAATAATAACTAGGACGAGGAAGTGGTATCAGTCGAAGACGCACCTTACAATTGCACTGCGGTATTTTTTGGGAGAATTTACCCGCGGCATTACTGCTCTGGTCACTTGGCATTTTTAACTTTCCGTTTTTCTTTTGATTTATGTATTACGAATTTTTCAATATTTTCTCTTATTCCATTCTTTTTTAAATTCTTCTCCCTTCGCATTTTCATCTACTGGTCTTTCCACCGGTCATGGTAGGTTGAGCGTTAAAACGGATAATGAATTTTCCAAGAAAAGTTCTAGTTGGGCTAGTAAACAAAGGCAATTTGCATAACACGTATTATGATCTATCCAAGACCAAAGATGACCGACTATCAGAGAAGTTGGTAAACAAAGACCGTGAACTCTGAGATGTTGAAAAGTTAAGTCCTTATTTTATCGATCACGAGATTTTAAACGACACGCGTGGGTCTAACTTCAATGTAGATCAATGTACTATTTAGGAATTGCGAGGAATATTACACAGGGGTTTTAGCAAATAGTCAGCCCCTTCTCGTTTAATTCTGTTCAATTTTGATCCATCTACGATACCGAAGAATGTGAAGCAAGGAATTATTGCTGTTGCACGTACACCAATAATATGCGTAGAAAAGATCGAACGAGACATGCTAATTGTGCAATGAAACAAATGAGTGTCGCTTTAATTATTTGTAACTTTAGAAATGGTTAATGAAATATAAATGTATGTATCTGCGGTTATCACTCGCGATAACAACTGCACGTAAACGTTCGAGTACGAATGTATTCGTGTGTTACATCCTTACTTTTCAGAAATATAAACTAACATATTAAGATTCGATTTAGAACATGGTTAATATTATCCTTTAGATTTACTTATTAACAAAATTTTACACAAAGAAAATACAAAAAATATATAAATGCATAATACCATTATATGATATATAAATAGCGTAAAGATATTTAGGGGATACTACTTAGAGTGATACAGTCTGTATAAAAAATTGTAAGCAAAAGAAGTTTACAAGTTCCAAGATTTTTTAAATTTGACCGTGAAAATTAATTAAAATACGAACATTCGATTTACGAAAACATAGGTTTAAATAGTTTAAATAATTTCGAATAACTTTCAAAAGCACATTTAAATTCAAGAAATGAATGAAAGATTGAAAGATATTTTTCATTACTATAATAAAAATAGCGTTTGAAAGCAATTTCGTTGTGTATGAATGTAAAATACAATGTGGTAAGTATTGTATAGATACGGAAATACAAATATCTCGTTTAAATAATAGAAAGTGTATTATATTCGGTAACAATATAAATTCAGATAAGTATCTCTTAATACAATTTCAATTATGTGCTTGTATAAAACCAAAAAGAAAAAGCGAAACAAAACGTTTTAACTGCTTTCGTTTTTATTTCTTATATTGATTTAATATACCGATACATCGTATAATTGATCATCGTATAATGCAGGTCAAACAGATTGCACAAAAATGAAAAAATATAATTTACACTTTTTGCTGTTAATAAAATTTTAGAAGACGAGCAATTAAATTAAATTTTGAATAATATTGATAAATTCGTATTTCGATTTTCTTAAAAATTGGTCACGAGACTTCGAGGATAAAAAAAGTACACGAATTTGTTGATACTTCTCGCTATAGCGTATGTACATTTTCACGAAATATTAAAATGATAAATAAAAATAACACGAAATATACATATATTATTTGTTACATAATTCAACCAATCGGAGAAAAGAACAAATGGAAAGAACGTGTTTCGTCAAGAGTATCTGATTAAACTATACCTATTGAACCATGCCATAATTCATAGGTTGATTCTGAACCAGACTATGTTTCGATTCTAAATAAAGATAGAAAAACGCCGTAGAGGAAAATTTTGATCCTTTTAATCAAGTCCATCATCCTGCATCGCAGCACTTACAATATGTACTTGAATTTCCTTTTTAACAATACGTCTTTTAATGCATGAATAATCGATTCGTCGAGTTACCCTGAGAATGAAAAATATAAGATAAGAACATCGAAGACACGGCATACATATTTATTTTTACAAGATATTTTTCTTTTCTGAAAATATATAGCGGGTACTGAGAGAACTCTATAATTTATTTTTAATACACTTCTTATTTTCAATTATATCGTTTAGTTTTTACTATACGGTTACTAATTCGAACGTATAGTAACGTAAACAGTATGTGATTACTAGATAACTAGTCAATGCAATAAAAAATGTTAAGAAACGTATAAAAAAAGAGTTAAAATGCAAGGATAAAATTTTTAAGTATCTATTATAAGTTCAAAAAGCAAAGAAATTAAATATTTCGTAAAGTATTAAATTAAAAATGACCTTCTATTCGCCTTTCTTCGTAAAATAACACAAAGAATTAATTTATGCAAAGAAAAGGTTAAATAGTTTTGTTAGAAAAGAAAGATGCAATTACATTTCGCAAATGCATCGAGGCACTTGCGAAAAAAGTTCGCGCCACAAGATGATAGAGCTCGCTGTATATTTTTCTATGCAACTCTTCCCTAACTTCACTCCGAACCTCGATATACTAGTTGAATCTCGAGTTTAGTTCCTCGAATCATTATGGATATGAAAACTATTCAAAAGCACTTTGTCGTATATCCTTCTTCAAAAAGTATAAATTACTTTATTTACCAAAAACTTACGAACATTAAAAAATTATAATTCGCATTGGTTAGATCGCCATTATTAAAATGTACAATGTCACATGTCACATGATATATATAAACTCATTACTTAGTTACAATTTAATAAAAAATATGAAACATAACATTTCAAAAACTATTTATAGGTTATTATTGACAATTAAAATAATTATGCTAGAATCTGTGGCAATTTATTCAAATAATTATTTATACAATACAAAATGTTTGCACGAAAAGATATGCATCTATTTATCACTTTTTGTACCAAATATAAATTATATGCTTATAACACCCAATAAATACACGTAAATACGTACGCGTAAAACTAACGTGGTATTCGATAATTTCATTGATCTAATTGTGAAAATTTTTAATAATCTTACAGTCGCAATAATTAAAATTATTTAATGTATACCATTTTATTTGGTAAGATAATAAAAGTTGCGTATTTTGTTGATATTTCTTCAACTACATTTGTAAAAGGATCATAAAAAAGAATTACCACATGAATGTTTATTAAACTAGTCATTAAAAAAGCTCACCTTCTTATTCAACAAAATTTAATTATGCAATCTTGTGCTCACATATGCGCATTCATCTATATAATATTCAATTTGATTTTTAATTCATAGAAAATTGAGACTGAGACCTTTAATATCATATCTCAGTTTATAATGGAAAAACTATAATTACAGATTTTTATGTTATATAATCAACATATTATAAACTTAATAGGATTTGTACATCGATACAAAATAAATAAAGCAAAAGATTTTCATACCGTATTTTTGATAATTTCATTTTACCATGCTAAAAATAAACATAACATTACTTCAAAATAAATAAAAAGTACTAAAACAAGCTTTGATAAATTGTCACGAGCAAAAGATTGTACAATTGCTTTTCACATCTATAAAATTAATGATTATATACCAATTATGGTCATAAATACACAATATTTATTTCATCTATATACATTAAAAATAAGTTATAATATTACATTTATAAAACTCATCTTTAATTTTTCTGTATCTAATATAATTTTATTTTGTTGAGATCAATTATGATATATTATATAAAAACATATGACTTGCCATGCATTATAGGTTAACAAGTTAAATTTGTGGTAAATTACTAATCAATGAACATAATGTAAAATTATATTTTTTTATATAATATAATAAAATAAGTATGATTTCTATTATATAGCTATATTTCATATTATTTATCAAACCATAGCAAGCATAAATTACAAAAATATATTTATCATTTCCTGTTTATCAAAAACATCTTTCTATAGAAACAGCATTTGTTATCAAAATTATGATGTATTTATTATGCTCACACACATTTTTATTATAGTAACATAATGTAATTTATTATTTTAGGATTTATTTGCAACCATGTAAAAGCAAAATCGTTAATTACTTTTCTCTAATATTTTTTTATTCATGAAAAGTAGTAAAATAAAATGTATTCTATACTTCTCTAATTTTCGTATCTCAAAAATTTCATGCAATACAATAATATTTATTTCGCATGAACCAAAAATGAACTCAAACGATATAAAATGTATAAAACTTACCACCACCAGAATTCCAAATATTATCAGTCATCCCTGTTTATCCATCTGTAAAGTTGGCACTATATTATTACACTGACATCCGATTTGTTCTATTACATCACATCACAAATATATTTGTCAGATATATGCACTCTCGATGCACGTTTTGTCAGCTTCTTGCAATCGATAAATAGACTCTTAGCTTTGTCGAATCTTATGCCACCAATGAGAGAAAATGTTACATTATTAATTTCACGACACTCTTTGAATACAATATGAAATATGTTCAAACAATTATAGATTTTTATGTTCAATAATATTTATATGAAGTACTTTTATCGATATAACATGTTTACAAAAAACTATTTTATATAACATTTACAAAAATGTATCAGTAGTTACCAAACTTAACATTTTTGATTTACTTCATGTTGTTTATTCTATATCTAATCTAATATTCTATACCTAATAAAAGATATTTTTAGGAAAGATATACATTTTCATTATTAATATATATTCGTGTCTACTTTGTATTTAAATCTGATGCTATAATTTATAATCATAAAACCATATATAACCATAATATAATTACATTTATTTTATTAAATGAAATAAAGTAAAAGACGAATTACTTTCAATGCAATGATATAGCGTTAAAATCATATGCATAATAAAATATTGCAAAGTAAAAATTAAAAATATCACGATAAAGAGTCATTAAGAATAATTGTCTATCCATAGTAATTTAGAATAAAATAATTTTCCAATTTTATGATAATATAATACATGTGAATTTTGTGCAAAAATTTAATGTAAACATATATACCTGCATAAAATAATACTATATCTTCTCAAAATTCTAAAATCACAATCTAAATATAATTTGTTAAATAAAGAGATTCATATTTCTTTTCTCTTTTTACAGTAACGAATTTCTTATATAGTAATCTATCTTGCTTAGTAGTAGTACTATTCAGAAAAATGACTGCCATATTAACCCCAAGAATATAGAGACAAACAAGAACACATCTAAACGAGGGTTGATTGGTTAAGCGACGTAACAACATATGAAATAATTGATTAAAATTTGCGTTTAAATGTATTTCGAACTGATAGAAATTCAGATAAATACGAGTTGCTAGTGAATATCGGGAAGAGGTTATGAAACCTTGTAAATAAAAAGAATCGTACGGAAAAATCAGAACGACATTACAGAATAAAGAAGAACTGTAGATTAAACATAATATTATAGATTAAAGAAGAATCAAATCACTTGAAACAGGATGTTGTACCTGTTGTGCGGTGAAATGCTGTATCACAAGCACAACAGTCAGCTTAAAGCCTTTTTTTGTCGCGCGATCAGATTAGCGAACCACCCCTCGCTTTTTTTCAACGGCGCCTTGACAATGTTCGTTTTTACAATTTTAAGATTACCATATATAATCAATAGGCATGTTGTATTATAAAAAATTTGCAAGATATTGTTTGTTGAGTGAAAAGATTTCAAAGGAGTAGGCTACTTGGAAACTAGACTTGACATCATGACGATTCTTACGAAAGCACAGAAACGATCGTGATACGTGATTACGAACGACCGAATGTACAACAGGGGGTCTCTGTATTGTCCGTATTTCTATCCACACCCCCTCCCTCCTCGTCCTTCATTCTTTCCTTCGTTACTTCCTTAGATAATTCTATCTTTTTCATACCGAGCAACAAGATTAAATATTCATCAATGTGGAACTATATGTGTCGTGTTCGTAAATTTTAGTGGCCAACATCAAATGCCCTCTCTTTTAACATACCTCGTAAAACATAATAAAACACAGTTCCTTCCTCCTACTTCTTGGTTTCTGTCTCTTTTTTTTTTCCTCTAACTAACTACCTCTTTCTTTCTCTTTCACGGCATAGCGCACTTTGCTTATCGAAAGAAAGGGGAAAACTCATCTGGAAAATGGCTGCCACCAGCCAGTTACCGATTTATCCCTTTCTTGCATAGCTAGTTTTAACGTGAATAGTAACAAGTAAGAAAACATAAACGTTGCCAATGCTCTTTGTATTTGACACGATAAATCGTTGTTATGATCAAAACACCGATTACGCGACAGCACAAATGTATATTCTAGACGCCGGCACATACACGTAATAATCGCACTACTTGCTACTCCGAGAGAGTATACGTACTAGTTTTTTCCTCCAGAAATCTTACGGCAAGTTTTTCTTTTGTCACCTACACATGCGAAAATAACATAACACTTGTTAACACCGTGATTTATCACAAAAATGAGCACTGCAGCGAACAATAACGATCAACGTCTTAAAATCACTCTAATTTTCTTTTGCACGTATTTCAACGACAGTGACGTTGCTTCACCATTGCACTCACACGAGTTTCTCTGTCTCACTCGCATCAATAGTCTCTTTCGCCACCTTACGACTTCGGGTATTATCGGTGAACTACGATGTTTATTCGGCACATCGGCTGACCAGTCACTGTTCACACTGACTGAGATCGTCCCTGCTCTCTTCGTTTACCTATTATATTGATACTTTCGGATAGTAGACACTCTTGATACTGACTAGTTTTTTAACTAATCGGAACAAATGCGAAGAAATTATTATAAATAAGGATGACCTACCTTCTCTTAAATTTATTAATTTAAAAATATTATTAATTTTCTTTGACCACTTAATAAGAAAAATTTTCTAAGCTTCTTCCTCATGGAATCGACTTCGTACTATTAATCTAATTAGATACATGTAATACCGAACACACTACAGATATGTGTGTATATATTCTGCATTCGTATTCTGTACACACACGCATTGTATGTTTATATATACATGTGTGTATACGTAATGTTTCAAAATGAAATTGTATTAATTATGTATATATGTTTACAGCTTTATTCTTATTTTCAATTATCACTTATGCCTAGCGTTGTGGTTTATAGCATCACTGTACTGAATGGAATATTGTGCAACTAAATTTATTAATATCGAAAATTTCATTGATTATTATTCTACTTATTAAATCGTATAATTTAACAAAATTACATTACAATACTCACAACATATAACTGTGTTTATTAATAATATTTTTAAATGAATTTGTTACAGAGAAGTTCAAACATACATTATACATTATATTTTGCATTATGTATTAATGCTGCATCATTTTATGTGTGTCTACTATAACTTTGTCAACGAATTTCAACAAAAAGTGACAAAAAATTCTTATATTCTATGATTGAAACACACAATGATAACGGTAACAAAAATTTTTGTTTAGAAGAAAGAACTTTATTCCACATATTTATATCACAAATTTTTTACTTAAAATTCTAAAGTATTATATATTAGGCATTATTTATAAGAATTGGGTATAAAATTGAATTATACATAAAAAGTTTTTAAACGGTATTTAATGAAAAGATAAAACAAGCTAAATTAGCCTTTTCCAACATAAATTATTTACTTATCGCCTTTTTTATAATGGTCTTATTTTTTCGTATGGTTGTAAGAATCTTTAAATCTGTAATTCGCTTAACGTGTTACTTTGACATCGCATAAACATTCATATATTCCTTTTATCAATTATTGTTTCAGAAATAATTTTATACAAAATTATATACGTAAATTCAAATAATTTCTTACACTAAATCTCGCTAAAAATATCCGTATCTTTTAATAAAAACTGATAAATTGGCAATTTTCTATTTCTTAAAATTTTGATTAAGACTGAATTGACACTTTTATACAACAAAATCGTTTTATGAGACTAATTAATTATTTCCTTACATACATTAAAATCGCGTATGCTTTTTCTGTGGCATAATTTCAACTTTCAACTTCGTATTTTCGGTTTATGTGATTCTTTTAAATTTCGGAAAAGATGATAATTTGCTGGCGGAACATTCTAGAAAAAACTCAAGTTAATAATTATTTAATGTACAATTTGAATTAAATTGTGTATATTACAAATTTTATTTGTCGTTAGGGGTATTCCTTGTTACTATCGTTAATACTGGAAAAATTTTGTTATAAACATGTTTCCCCAGAAAATTGTAATTAATTTCAAAGCCTAAGAAATTAAAATTATAACACACGACTGCTAATTGTATTTCCAAATACTTTATTCATCCAACACCTTTTAACAGTAAATGTAATATATGAAGAATTGTATACAAAAATTCCATTAAGTTGCACTAAATTGCACTTTTTTATAGGATAGGTGGAAACGTTTCGAAAATTTGGAAACAAATTTTGTATTCTTACGGAAATGTTTTTCCAATTTTTTTTTATTTCGGAATATGAAGAAACATTGTGGTCTTTATTTGTCGGTATTTATCAACTCGAATAATTTTATTTTACAACGATTGTCTATCATGGCGGCGATTTAGTATGGCAGGTAATATTGATCTTTATGTGTAATTAATATAGAAAAAAACATTTTTATTTTTTTGGGATTTATGATGAATAAAACGAAAATATAATAAAAGCTATAATTATATTCGCGAAAGAATATTTTGAACGAAATTTAATGCCATGACAAATATTGCAGAAACTTAGTAAATTTCTATGAGAAATGATCATAAATGTAAATTTATTGAAACAAATACAGAAAATATTCCAAGAGTCTGATTTAATGCTATTAAAGTTCAAATAAACTTTCGAAATTTCGAATATATTAATAAGAATATATTAATAACATATTGCATATGTTGCAATTATATGTAAATGCATATTATAAGCGTATATTAATATATTCATAATATATGACTGAAGTTCTAAATCGATGAGACATGATTTAGAAAATTATCGGAGAACGAAGAAATATATTTCGTTAACTACTACATATAGAGTCAATAAAAATTGGCCAATTCTTATTCCGAATTTTGTATTTCTCTAAATTTTATTTCAAAAATATAACATTCCACTAAAAATGTTCCAGTTCTTCGAAACGATTCCACTTACAATAAAAGATATATGCATACAGAATATGTCACGTGAAAATCTTTCGTGCATCCTATAATTTCAAATTTAATTGAAATGTACGAGTTAAGTAAACTATCTTGTGTACATTAGATTGCTTTTGTAACTGCCAACTGAATAACAAACTCGCAGTATTACGAACGTTCAAGCCATTCAATTAATTTCATTGAACACTTTATTTCGCTCCATACATTTGAAGATTCCATTATTTTCGTTGCTCTATTTCTCGTAACTTGTAATAAAATTATATTTAAAATGGCATAAGCAAATTCGTCTTGTTACTCTTAATTATCATGTAGAAAACGAATTTCGACGTATACTTGAATGGAAATTTTCTATCGGTTTCTTCTATTTAATTAAATCCTATATACAATACAAAGCATTATGCAAAATTTTGCAACCAATTTGACAGAACATATTTAAGAGGGCAGATAATTGAAAAAAGTTTGCCAACTCATATTTGAAAATGTTTTATTAAGAAGTTAATAGAAATTAAATATTCATTATGAATCAAGCAAAATTTTAAAACAGTTTATCGATTTCATGGATTCTTGAAACTGATAAAACTGATAAAATAATTGATAAAATAACAGCGTTAATGCAATTTATTATTCACACGACTTCGTAAGTCGTTACATTTAAGTTGATAAACGTTTATAGTTCCTTCTTTTCCAGTAACACCAAGAACCATTTGCTAAACCGGCGACTTTTTGCATATATTTTACGAATCGTTATAGATGTGATTTGAATATAATACTAAAGTTTTTCTTAATTTTATACATCGATTATTTTACATGTAATTTCAAGAAAAATCAGACACTGTTAAATCAAGCGATCTAAAATACAAAACAATTAAATCATTATAGTTGACTTTATCGTCAGAAAATTTATATTTAAGAAAATCACATGTATTATTTTTCTATAAAGAATTTCCTACCAATTAATTTATTGCTATTAATAACTTTTTATTTTCTCTTTAATAGTTTTATGTGAGTATATTTTGAGAGTAATTGATTGTATAACAATGGTTAGAACTATTTGAATTCGTATAAAACGTGATATTTAATAACTTATGATAATATCATTTTTCAGAAGAATTATTAATTATTTATGGTATACATTTTATCCCTTAAAAATAATTTTTATTCGAGTGTGAAAAAAAAAGAAAAGAATGGTATTTCATTTGGAAAACTAAAAAACGAGAAATCACTTAAAATTTTCGGGCGACGAAAATATTTAGTATAAAAAAGTACCGTCAAAGGGACATTTAGAATTGAAGAGTTTCCTAATGAAAGAAAATATAAAAATACGTATGAGATAAATCTTGTGGATAAATTTAGGTGATATTTTATATGCAAAACTATCTTCGTAATCGAATAAATCGAATGAAACACCAATTCACCGTTCGGTATCAGACATCTAAGTTTTATATAATAATTTTTCGTACAATATGTAACTTAGCAGTTACTCAAGGTAAATATTACAAATTAACGAACACTATCGTGTATGTATGCACACATACGTATGCACACACATTTTCTCACTTATTCATTCTGACATTTATGCACCGTAGATTATTTTGAGTAAATATTAAATAATATGTAGCCCTCACTTATTTTTAAAATTAATGAACATCTCGATGAATTAAAATTTGTATATGGAAAACAAATGAAATAATAAACATATGGCACATAGTATACGTTAAAATTGAATGTAAATAAATATTACATTAAAGACAAAATTCATATTATCACATTTAGGGAACCCTGTTTTATACATAAGTAATTAAATAAAAATTAACAAAGTTTTTACTTTACATATTATAAATATCTATATACAATCAAAACATAATTTCATAATTTATAGAAGATACAACAAATTTTGTTATATTATGTGTACAACACATAATACATACATACATACATACATACATACATATATGTAATGACTAGACAATACATTTTTGTGGTATGAAAATCAAATACATGAATTTGAAAGAATTTCTTATAATGATAAATCTCACGTTAAACATTTTTGTCATGTTATGGATTATAATTTTTATGCCAGCATATTTGGCACGCATGTATAAAGAAAACTACACATTATTTTTTCATAAATTTTTGTATCATATGGCATTTTTTCTAAAATCCTAATAATTATAAATAAAACTTTACAATTACTAATTTAGTTACCACTTAAAGTAAATTATATATATATACATTGGCCACTTATGACTTTTTCTAATTCTCTTAATACAAACTTTTTACGAATGTAATGATTATTTATTACTACATAAAATTTACTAACAAGTAATACATTTTTATTTAAATATTAAAAGTGTATTTCTTTGATATCGTTTTCTTACTGATTAAACTCAATTGACGTATATTTTTAATTGTAAAAAAAAGATTTTAAATTCTTGCATTAATTTCTTAAATAATTACGTTATAATGTAAGCAAATAAATTTTTTTAATATATTTTCTACTTCATTTAAATAGATATAATGTTGACTGCGTATTGACATCTATTAGCCTAACATAATGTAAATAGTCTATATACTTGTTGCAATCATGGAATTTCAGTTTTTTATATTCCATATTATAATCTAAACAGATATAATAATATATTATAAATACTAGATTACTACTTTTTGTTTTGTAATTATAAAAATCATTAATTTTTTAAAATATTTCTATATAGAAAGGAATTATAACAATGTTTTTATCATATATCCTGATTTGTTTAATATAATATGATGTATAAGAACGGAATTCTAAATCTTAAACAGTTACATTTTGTAAATAAGTTCTAAGGACTTATATTGGATATTAATAAATCAAATTTTTAATATTACCAATATAAGGATGACAAATATGTAAAAAGTATTGTAAAGTAAAAGCAATACTTTGCAAATGTTATAATGTGTTTGAGTTACATGTACACAGGATATTCTATTTTACTTTCTTCGTGTTATTATCGAAGCTTTTCACTATAAGATAAAATGTTCCAAGTGAAATTTGCTCTGTTTTGAAAAACATTGTACGATAACCTCAGTTCGTTTTAATATAAAGACATTTCTGAAATTTTAAGGTAGTCTGTTATTTCTTATTTTCTTTTTACAAAATCTGTATGATACGTTTCTTCTTTTTATTAGATCTTATACAAAAGAAGAACTTTTTTTTTCATTACAAAAAAAGTTTATTCCAATTCGAGATTATTCAAAGTTGTTAAAAAATTATTAAAAATCTATTATAAAAAGCACTGAATAAAAGAATGTCCAGTTAAAGAACAACTATTTAGGAACAAAATTAGCTAATACTTTTGTATCCAAGATTAACTTTTTATATATACAAAATAGGAAAAGTCTCCTATCTATTTATTGAAGATATTCAAATAACCTTAATCGACCACAGAGCATTCCTGATATCATAGAGCAATGAGTTTATCTTCAAGTAGACAACATGCTTAACTAAAAATAATATTTAGTTTCGCAAAGGTCACCTTGAAAACCTGAAGACAGCTTTTCTTACATGAAAGAGGAACTACAGTTATAAAATGTCCTTCTTCAGATAGAATAAATTTAAAATTCCATCTGAATAAATTTGTCGATTATAGAAATAATTACATAAAAAAATTAAAATAGAACACCCTGTTTAAAAATAATCTGAAATATTTCATAATATCCCTCTCTTCATATGCAATATTATATATATCAATTGAAAATAAAAAATTTTGAAATTATAGATTTGGGATAGTATATTAAAATATTCTGAAACAATATTATAATAATGAAATAATACTGAATTATTATAAGTAAAATGTTTCAATTAAACATTTAGATATATTCTACCGTTCTTGTTATAGATATATATATATATATATATAAGATAAAGATACAGGTACTTGTCAATCAAAACTATATCTTACTTCAATGAATAAAAATAAAATAATAATTATATTTGTTTAACAAAATCACTTTTTTCAGTTAAGATCACCAGTTATGCAAAGAAAATAATCATTAATAAACTAATAGAACGAAATAATAATAAATACACCTTTTCTCAATACATTATATGCATCATATTGATACACTCTATAATTCCAAATTTTGTTATAAGTATATTATCTCGTTTGATATTTTTATTTTTTCTTATCTGAATTATTTTTCAGAAATAACTAATTTCTCTGTTTTACATACCAGCTACGTACAGCATAGTATGTATTTGTAATCTACCATTTATTGGTGGTAGATGTACTATCGCTCTTGTACATACCGAGAAAAAACGAGAAGCCCCTGGCAACAAGAATCGAACCCGCGACATTTATATTCTGCCGTTTATAGCCAACTGCAATCTAAGCAACTCCGCTAAGGGGTTCTCGATAATTTCTCATGTTGCTTCTATTTTATGTCTTACATGAAAAAGTTATCCCGAAGTGACAATCATCAAATTTTATAAAATTTTAGTATAAAGTAAATTTGAAAAAAATATTCGATATTTATTTTTTCTTAACGTCCATCGTTCACATTGTAAAAGTGAAAATCACTTTCAATGTTATTTTGTCCAATATCTTGGAAATTAACTGACAAAGAAATGGAGTAGATGGACAAATTTTATTAATTTTATACTTCAAATTCAACTATATAATTAACTACGAGAAAGTCCATTTGTTTAAATAATATATTAGAAATTGTTGCATTTCTATTATTTTTACTTGTTAAACGATCGTTACAGTGTTGCAACAATTAATGTTCATAAATACTCAGATATAAGATACAAATACAGATAATTAGAGTTTTCAACTTTGCAAATTAAAAACAATAATTGCATTCGAAATTTGTAGTTATGCAGTATTTTACCATGAACAAAATATTCGAGTAAATTTGGAGTATGGTTCTATCTAAAAAACATCATTCAAACATCCTCAAAACTCAATAGGTTTGATATTCTTAACTTGAATTTGTGGTATTTTATTTATTCTGATATGTCTTGACATTCTAAACATATTTTATTTTATTCGGAAAGTTTGAGATCTGCGAGTAATTCTATTTAAAGAATAGAAACTCATTCCTACTCACTTTGTATTGTTTATAAGAATATGAAAAATATATTTTTACGTTATATATGTGTATGTATACATAATCACACATACACGCATAAAACGTGATTGTAAGGATTTGTAAATGTAAATGCATTCAGTGTTTTTCAATACTAAGTCTATTATTATCGATATGATGACAAGTTAACCACGATAGTCCTCATGTTTCATTTGAATCTTAGAATAAACGGAATAAGAAGAGAGATAATGAACACTTGGTAAATTTATATTATAAGAAAAGTCTTGAAGCGAAATGGCAAAAGTGATTATAGTGAATGCAGAATCTTTTATCGAAACTTCAAAAATAATAATTTAGGCCGTGATAGGCTTAATGTTTAGTTATAAGATTATTGTCCTCTGTATGACGAAGATTTGTACACGCAATTGCCATATTTTACACATGTAAAAATTACACATTTTTCTATGTCTGTCTCGCACAAAACGTAAACAAACTCTAAATACAATTTACAACTTATTTAGACCTTACTTAGATAATGAAAATATGATAATTCTTAATACAGCATATAAACAAATGGATTTCATTTAAATATGATTATTTAGTTAAATTAGTTATAGAAAATTATAAAATTTGTATGTTTCCATCTTCTTTACTAATTTCTTCCTACTAATTTACTAATTTCCAAGATATTGGATTAAATAACTTTGAGAGTGCTTTTCACTCCTACGATACGAACGATATCGTAAAAATATGAATATATCGAATATTCTTATCAGGAATAACTAATATCAAAATTTTATCAATATCTGTGATTATCATTTCGGAATTAACCCTTGTAGGCTTAGAAAAAATGTTAACTTTACAGTTATTCCAACACATAATGGAAATTTCTATAACTCTTCGTATTAATCCGTAACCATTTCTAAACCTGTATTATTAGCAGATACATTCATCTCTTCATCTTCAACGACAGTTTTATTAGCTATATTTGAAAGTGCTTGATGTATAGTCGGAGTCTGATGATCAGCAGCTTTTCCATCCTCTACTGTTTGAACTGTTGTTAACGTACTCCACCAATTAGTGAAAGCTCCCTTAGCTTGTGAAAGTGCACCACCTAATAAATAAAACAATCATCTTTTAATTTATCTTAAAAACATAATGCACACTGTTACGATATTAAACATGATACATAACATGTGGCATGTTCATTTGCATCTTCACTGCTTCTAGCAACGTGAACGAATGATCACGAAATGCTTTTATCGAAAAAGTGCATTCATGCACCACCGCGTTCATTTCAAATGATTTTCAGTTTCTCTGGTCGATATAAAACACAGGGGACCATCTTATAAGGATTTACAGGTCAACTACCTTAATAGGATCATGTTAATATCTTTTGTATTTCCAAGCACATAAAAAGATGTTGAGCATAACAAAGAGTGTACAAAAACTTTACAGGGAGACAAATAAAGATGAAATTTCTTTCAAAGTTACTTTTCTTTTCTCCGAAGTCTTACATTCTCTTTTTCATATTTTTATAGAAAATAAAGAAAGTCGTTAAAATTGCGAATATTTGAATGAATATTTTCTGAAATTACGCGTATAGTATATTATATATTCCATTATCTATAGAATATTGTTATCGAACAAATAATCGAAGTCACTCTATTGCTAAAAACGAATAATCACCTATTCTTTCTCCAATAACTTTATTCAAGGTATGAAAGGTACGAAACGTATAACATACGGCGCAGTGTTTGAACTAAAGCTATAGATGTAAGAATAAAGAGTACTTGGTCTAGAGTGTTAGAGGTCTGAAAGAAGAGTGTTTGAACGAAGAGCTTAAGATTATCGTGTGAACAAGAAAGGTATAGACACACAGGGCTTCGGGTCTATATACCAAAGAGTCGTTTTTTGAAATGGCTGAATAGAGTGAAAGAAGTAGTAGAATTTATGCGAGAATGTAGAATGTTTGAAATAAAGAGTACTTGATTTAACGCGTTAATGATCTGAAAGATGAGTGTTCGAACAAAGCGTAGAAAATTATCTTGCGAACGAAAAGAGCATAGTCACCGAAGATCTTTCTTCGTATGATCGAACACAGCGAAAGAATCAGAGACATAAGAAAAGAGAAAATATGCGTTCAGACTGAGTCACAAAATTGAAAGTTGCGAGGGAAGAGTATGTCATAGTTTAATTAAAAGATTGTTATTGTTTTTATCAGATTATTATTAAATATCTTCCTATTTTTATTTACTTTATTCCTTCAACATTCTTTTATTTTTTTCTTCTTTTGCTTCACTCATACAATATTCTATTCATTTATGATGAAAGCTAACAAAGCTTTAGAAGAAATAGTAAGTTTATACTAAACAAAGTAGAATATATGTTACAGAACGGAACAAAAGACAATAAGAATTGTCGAGAAGAAATAAAACACTGTTGCCATAGTATTGTACAGAGGTATAGTTTCTCAGAATCTTGTAAAGATTTTTTGGAAAAATTTTATCTGCGACAAGCTTGGGCTAAAAATTTCACAGAATCGTTTAGAATTTTGTCAATTATTCAGAGAACAAACTCAATTAACGATTAATAACGGAAAGAAGGACCTCTTTCGAAGAGAAACGATTCTTTAGTCATGGAGCGAATCAATTTGCAATTTTCAGAACACATACTGTCAAATCTCAAAGACGACTTGTGAGAGCAGTAGGCAAAGACTATGTGTCGCGAATGACGGAATCGTGTCACCTAAAATCTGTATTTTATTGATTACAGATGAAAAATGAAACTTATTCGTGAGATTTCGCTATAATTTTTCGAAAATATCTCATTGAATTTGAAACTACGCATGCGAATAGAACGTGATTGCAGATCAGCGCACAATTTAGAAATTGTAAGGAATATTGTACAAAAGTTTTAGCAATTGTTGCTGATTTAGCAATTTAGGAAAGAAATCTATCATTGTATTATATCGCCGAAGAATGTGAAACGGGGAATCACCGCTTCATGTACACCGGTAATATGTACAGAATGATAATGTGTACAGAAAACAATAGTCACAACATGCCAGTTGTGCAACTGAAACAAACAGTCGTAACTTTAAGCATTTAGGTATGATAATATTTAGGTACGATAATAACTTTAGGTATGATCGATGAAATATAAACGTAAGTATCTTTAATAATTACTTGAATACCGGTGTAGTGGTATTCGTGTTTGTATTCATGTGCTACACATTTTTGAGTAACGGTAATTCCTTTGCACTACAATGACTAGTCTAAGTCGTCAAAAGTCCTTCGTGTTAAATCTCATGATTATACTAATCACGCGACCATAATTATATTTCACACGTTTTAACATGCACAAAATTCGAAGAATTTTTGAAATGTTTATCTAATTTTATTATATAGTGGTTAATTAAAATTAAATACTGCCTCAACGTATAATTTTTCATACCTAGTAGTACAAGGGGTTGACTAAGATATTAGAATCTAAATGTACATAAATTAGATGTTTCGATCGAAATATGGTGTCATTCGTTCGATTTACTTTATTTATTTATTACTAGAATTTGAGGCAAAAATATATGATTTCATTAAAAATGAAAAAAATACCAGTTACTTAGAGAAGAGTAATTTCCTATCTAATACTTCGTTTAAAGAATTTACTATAATATGAACCGCTATTTCGTATATCAATAAATATAATAAGTTAAAAATATTTGCATCTAAAACAGATCGTACATATTTCTCTTCGTTTTAAAAAATGCGAATAACATCAAGGTTTTATCGTTAAATGTAGAAACGTATATCTAATCTTCTATTAATAATGGTAACTTACAAAGCGGTCGTTTATGACAACGACCATAGATTTAAATGCTATCTTTCACAAATTTCACATAAGGCGATTGAGATCTGACATTATAAGGTGAAACTTTCCAGAGATGATATGTAGACATGATACAAAATTGGACACAGATGAGCACAATGTGAGTATCATGATTCAGAATCGTGATACTACATAAGATACGTAATAATGCTAAATTGAACATAGGACAAGAATTGTAAAAAGAAGCGTCGAATAAATATTAAGATGATGAAAATCAATGTTGAAAAGTAACGTTGCCAATTCCTCGTTCAGTGTCGTAAAAAGTGCAAGTTACTTAAATTATTGAAATATATTTCTCTTTGGCTGTAATAATAAAAATTCCTAAATTACAACCTTATACTCTTACGAGGAAAATCCGACTGGAGTGAAACTTTGTACAATCGAACAGCAGAAACAATTCAATTATAAATATTTTTGTTAGGTATTGTAACTTTAATTTACGAGATTAAACTATGCCCCAGAGATCAATTCAGAAAATACTAATTTGGAAACGAGTACAAAGTATTTTCTTTTAACGTGTCAGTAATTGATCAATTTTTGTTAAAAGCTTCTTTTCCTATCTTTTTATATCTCGCCTATTATACAAACCCACAAAATTTCATTCAAATCGACCTTTCTTGTAAATGCATGAAATTGTGATCCACAAATTTTTATTACTACGACTAAGGAGAAACACATTTCGATAATTTTGAAAATTGTTCTACTGTTCAGGGATAATAATCAAGTAATCGACATAGTGTTTACTTCAGTCATTTTACGCTTATAGAATATCTTTTTCGATCCTTCAATCCGTGCTCATTCGTTCAATTTTGCTCATCACTATATACACATATGTAGTTAATGGTAATTATGTTCAATTTAGGTTCAAAACCACATGCAAACGTTTTTAAGACAGTACACGTGTATCGTTGAAGTTGAATTTAGGTTTGAGGTAAATTCAGATTTGATTTTGTTTTAAAACTGCTACGTCACTGGAGCACATATTCAAAATGTGAAACGAGCTCGATGAGCGATTGGAACTAATTCTTTGTAATTGTTATAAAAAATAACATCATGTTAGGTACATAGCAGAGTTGCTATTTTGGTAGATATAATTTTCATAATAATGGTTTAAATGCTCCTCATTATGTAATAATAATATTGATAATAATGTAATAGAATAAAGATTAATATATCCTATATATTAGAAAATCTAATTCTAATCCAAGTCCATTTCACTTTTCTCTTAAATCTATCCTAAAAGCATCTCAAACCTACCCCAAAGCTATGTGCAACTAATTTCAAGCTAATATAAGAGAAATCTGCCCAGAATCTATCCGAAGCACTAGAAATATGGTACATGTAGTAACAAAAATATTTTTGCATATACAGCGATGAAAAAAGTATTGGCACACTATATTGCAAGAAAATTCATCCAAATTTCAGAAAGTTTTGCTTTTAATGAAATTCACTATGCTAGTAGGTAAAGCATAATGAGCTCTACATGCAGTTATTTTTTTATATACGAGAAATGTTTTTAAGGGAATCAAATAATCCCTCAAAGTTCCACTATCTTTTCATGCTCCGATTATAATCTACATCTGGAATATTTTTTACAATACAGTAACAGAGCGTTAAAAATTAAACGTGTTTTATATACAAAATTTCGTCGTATCTTGTACTATTACAAAGTCATAATTAAAAATTGAATGGAAAATTCAATTGCTCATTTCATCTGCTCAGAGTGATACTAGGTGAGAAAGAAGCTTATTGCGTGTATAATATGTTATGATATATATACTCATAGATTGTCGACCAAATTAAAAAATTAAAATTGGTATCTTCTGGTTAAGTGAATTTTCTTGCATTATAGTGTACCGATACCTTTTTACCCACTGTACATTTGAAACAGTGGGTAACAAAACAAGATCAAAATTGGGATGCTGTCCTTGATATTTCAAGATTACTGCAGTCGATGAAGTGCACACTATTTTGAGACAAATGTTCACGCGTTCTGGTATTGATAACTTCCGGAAACTGTTTTGGTAGCAATTTTTGCTTTTTTCATATTTTCTGTTGCCGTGATTAATCGATATGGAGCTACCACAGTGAGATATATTAAATCTTGAATCGCATGGAGGATCACATCTGTGGCAAGAATAAAATCGGTTTAGTATTTTTGGATATTTAATTCTTAATTCAAGTTCTATTCAATAACGTTCCCTAACATTTAATACGACTTGTATG